TTTTTTTTTTTTTTTTTTTTTTTTTTTTTTTTTTTTTTTTTTTTTTCATTTCATTTCTTTTACCTACCGATCGCAAACGTGCTTTGCGCACCGTTTCGTGGTCAATTGCGAATTCACCAATCGCGACAGATTCTTTATCCAGGCGAAATGGCCCCTGTTGACGCCGCGCAGCGTATCGGGCAGATACAGCAGATTTACGTGCTTGTCCCGCTTATCGTCGGTCAACCGCAGAGGCACGATCGCGTTGTGGTCGGCGCCCCGGCCGAATTTAGCTTTCTTTTCAATTTCTTCCCGAGTTGCAAACACGTTGATCGATACGTCGTTCTGACGTTCGAATTTTCCGATCTTTTTCAGATCTATGGGAAAATCGATCCCGTCGAGATTCAGCACCGTCGCGTAATCGGGATACGAGCCGCGTCGTTCCGCGTTGTGCTTGGCGGGGTACAGAGCCGCGACCACCGCGCGCGCGAAACACGTGTCGTTCTCCGACGGCACGTTGACCACCGCCCTTTTAAGTCTTATACCCAGCGGTATTTTCATCCAACATCCCACGCGCATGGGATTACACTTGTTCACGTTCACTATTAGGTTCAATATTCGCGACAACGCCCATCCGCTGTCGCGTTCCTGAAATTCTTCCAACCGCGTTAGAATCGCGTCGCGCACGTGCCTATCGTACCACTCGCTCAGATCGGACCATGGGAGAAGCTGTTCGTTCCGCGTAGCGATACTCTTCACGTCGGTCTTAACGTCCGCTACGAATTCCCCGTTGAATATGACGTTAACCTTTAGACACCCGTGTTCGGTCATATTATCCCGCACCTTTTCGAGCACGGTGCCCTTCACGTCGTCGAGAAATCGCGCGGGCTCGATGTACGTCGAGTTCGTCACGGCGCCGGTCAGCACGCGACGTTGGAACGCCGCGTCGATCTCGATCCACGAGAAACCTCTGTCGCTGCTGCCGCCGCTACCACCTTCCCTTCCGTCCAAGCCGGCACCTACGGCGCGTTCGAATCGTCGACGCAGATCCTCCCTCGAACCTTCCAATTGCGCTATCAGAGCCACCAGAGCGCTCACGGCTCCCGTGTTTCCTCGCTTTCCGGAGCGTTTGACTCGACACTGCTCCCGCAGGAGTCGGAGACACTCGTTGCATCGCCGTCTCCACGCGCGGTAACCGTCCGCGTCGCGGACGTCCGCGGCGAGCAACTCGTCGCACTCTTTCCGCATCGCGTCCAGAAAGGTTCACCCTCGGGAACGTTGAACTTCACTCGGTCGAAAAGACGACGAGACCAGTCGGTTTGAATCCGATATATCTTGCTCTGTCCTCCGTACACCGACTCGTGATAGACATAATACTTGAGCGGCAGGCGACGCATATAATCGTTCGCCCTGACGGAGTTCGCCAACGTCGTCTCTATCCACTTTCGCTCGCGATGGATTCGCGCTCCGATTTCCCTACGCAGATGATGGGTAGCCAGATTCCATCGCGCGTCCTCCTTCGCCACCGACGCGCGCGCACTCGACAACGGTG